GGGGAGGGGAAGAGCAAGTGCGAGAAGGCCGGCTCGAAAGGAAGGGGCAGGGAAGCAAGGGTGCGATCGTACGGCAGAGGGGCTTCAGGCGGCGTGCTGTGACGGCAAAGGCGGGAGGCAGGGGCGGGGAGGAGGAAGCGGAGGAGGCGGAGGAAGCGGAGAGCTGGCGGGAGCCAGCCAGGCGCGTGGGCGAAGGAGGGCTCGCGAAAATGTGGACGGGGAGAAACGGAGCACGCGCGAGAAAGGGAGAGGGGAAGGGGAAAACGAAGACAGAATGTTGCGAGAGGAGGGGGGAAGGGGAAACTTCGAGGGGGAGGGGGGCCTGTATGGTGGGGCTTGGCCCTGGGGTGCGCTCGCCGATGCTGGAAGGTGTCAATTCAAACCTCCAATCGGGCCCGGGCTTTCCGGTCGCCCGGTCCCCGCTGCCGCCGCCCTTTCCGGCCGGTGCTCGCCTCGGGCGAAGAGTCGCGATGAAAGAGGGCCTGTGCCCGGGGGGGGGGCGGGGGGGGCGCCGCAAGTGGAGACAATGCGGCACGCCCGCCTCACGTTCTTGGGCGCGTATCCCCTCGTGCCCGAGCGGCCGGTGCTTTCGCTCGGTCGACCGGGAGCGTCTCGCGCGCTTGTCACTCTGTCCGGCTCCCCGGTCCAAGGAGGACATTTTCCCACCGCCAAAGCGTTCCGTGGAGGCGAAGTCACAGCGCGCACACCGGGGGCCGGCAAGCGGGAGCATACATCGGCAACTACAGTCGTCTGTCAGCGCCGACCTGGTCCGCCCGGGCTACCCCCCCCCCCCTCTGCCTCCCCACGCCCGGGGGGGGGGGGGGCCGGCCACAGGCCGCCGGGCCACAGACGGGAAGACAGCTGCCGCGAATGGACGAGATGCACCGGTGCATGAGCATGCGCGCGCGTACACACACACACACACACACACACACACACACACACACACACAGAAGGACAGACAAACGGCGCCGGTTACCTTCCTCGGGGGAGGGGGGTTTTCGCTCGCGGGTCCTCTCCGGCCCGGGCTCGGTGGAGCTGCTGGCCCGGGTCGCGCTTTTGCGAATGCCTGTCCGAGTGCTTTTGAGAACGCCCCGGCCCGCGCACCGTGACGGCAAACATGGCCCCCCCCCCCCGAGGCCCCCCCCTCCCCGGCCGTCCGGAGCGGCCTCGGACGCGCACCCCGGGCACGACGGGGGGCGGGGGGCTTTTGCGCCGGCCAGGGCCGTCCGGCATTTTCCTCGACCATGCCCTCCCCCGGGGGTGGGAGCGTCAATTTAATGCCACAGGGCCCAAAATGCCCAAAGGGGCGCGGGGCGGGGCCTCTCTTGTGCACCGGGTGGGGCGCCCATCATTCGGCCCCGCCCTGCCGCCCTTTCGCAGCGCCCGGCCCCCCGCCCTCCCGGTGACCGGGGTGTCGCGGGGCGGGGCGGGGCGGGGCGGGGGGGCCCTACGGCGGGCGGCGTCCGCCCCGTCACACCCGGCGAGGGGGCTTCCAAGTGGCGGGGGCGGGGGTGATTGTGGCGCCCCGGTGCGCAATCGCAGCCCTGGGACTCGTCTGGGACCGCCGGGCCCCGGCATCCGGAGCCCTGGCAAGCCGGGTGAAAGGGGTCCCGAGCGAGACATTAATTTGTGGAGCGTTCCGGCGGGCGCACTGAGGCTTTTTTCGTGGCCCCCCCCCCCCCCCGGAGGACCAGGGAGTAGCCGGCCCGAAAGATCAGCCCGCCGTCCGGCTCGCCCCCCCGCCCCCCCCCCCACATGTTGGGGAGGGAGGCGGACAGAGCGGCAGAGGTGGTGGGGGCCGGGGCGTGCGGGGTGGTGGAGCACTTGACGGGTGACGGCGCGCAGCGGCACATCCACGGTGTAGGGTCGTGGGGGCCCCCGCACAGCAGCCACCACTGCCAGTCTGAACTTTGAGATGGGCCGGCCCCGAAGGGGGGGTTGGGCGGCCTTGCCCCGCGCTCTGTCGGCGAGAGGCGGGCGCGGGCCTCAAGCCGGGCGGAAGGCCGGCAAGACGCAGTGGACGAGGGGGCGCCGCACACACGCACACACACACACACACGCCCCGGACAAGAGAGCGACAGAGAAAGGAGATAGCGAGAAAGGCGGGAAAGCATGGCAGGGCCGTGGTCCCGCAGTTGAGGGCCCGGCGGGGGGGAGGGACGGGGGGGGGGGGGGGGGGGGGTCGCTGTAACGATCGCGCAATGATCGGGCGGGGGACAATCCCCGCTCCCGAGGGGCGGGCCGGCCGGCGAGGGGAGACACGGTTAGGCCTGCGAACAAAAGGAATGCGCTCCCTCCAGTTGCCCGTCAACACGAGGCGTGTCCGAGATGGACAGGCAGACGAACACCGTTCTGCCCTGCCCCCCCCCCTCCCTCCCCCCGGCCCCGCCCCTGCGCAGCCGAGCCCTGTTGGCCTCTCGGGCCCGGCCCCTGGCCGCGAGCAATCGGCGAGCAGCCAAGCAGGGCCCGCTGGTCTCTGGCCCGTTCAGTGGGCACAATCAGCCCGAGGGACTCGGCTTGGCGGGACGGAGAAGACTATGTCCACCTGGAGGTGGGCGGCTTTCGAGAATGGACGCGCCTGTTGGAGGGCATTGTTCCCGCCGCCGCCCAGCCCCCCCCCGCTTGCCAGCTGAGTGCCCCGACCGATGAGCGACATCTGGGTCAGTGGGGAAATCCGAGTCCTGAGGCCCCCAGCCTGGAAGAACTCACACCGGGGGAATATAAAATAACGATATCTAACTACCTTCGACAGGACCGGCCTGTGCGGGAAGGGGGGGCGGAAGACCAGAGACTGCCTCGCTCCTGGGCGTACAGGCCTTTGTGGGGATCCGGGTCACATCCTGCTGCCGGGCCAGAATGCCAGTTTCCCAGCGAACCCGACTGCCCCCCCCTCTCTCTCGCGCTGCTC